AAAACAAAACTGTAAACGAGGACTATACTGAAAACGAAAGCTAGTGGTGAAAAAATATACTAATAAAGCTTAATAAAGATAAAAATGGCACAAAACACAAAAACTAAATTAAAACTTTAATGTCCACTGCAAAATGAATCAATAATACACTGTTATTTATTGCAGTTAGGTATTTATTTTACAGTATTTAACGTTTTTTTTTCTTTTTTTTTACTGTAAAACACTGTATTCAAAATTTTATTGTGAAATCAACTTGGCCTAAAATGTTTTCAGGTATTTATTTACATATTTACACAGAGAAAATTACTGTGAGGTTGATGTTGAGCTGTACTTCACAGCATTATAAGATACAACAGCAGCTGAAATTGCTAAAATTATAAGAAAACTGATACTGTCTGTAAAATGTGAATTTGCATTTAAAATATGTATTTGTGATATTCTTTGCACATACAGTGCAAAACATTTTTTTCTAAAAAGAGTACATTTTAACATCTACAAAAGTCGTTTTTTCATACGTTAATTTACAACAAACTCATAGCTACTGAGTTCCATTGTTTTACAGTTATTATTTAAACATGTAAAAGTACTGTATTTTGAATACATCTTATTACTGTAAATATACAGCAGAATGAAACTACATTACAGTAGTCTTGTGGTCCAGAAGGCTCTGGACAATATACAGTTGCTATTTTACTTACTATGTTATTTACTGTTAATACAGTGCAGAAAGTTACTGTGGAAGTGATGCAACACATAGTGAGTATTTTACTGTAATTTTACAGTAAAAATATTTTACAGTGTACATAGTATTACAGAGATGCAACCCACAGTGTAGTCTACTGTAGCATAACACTAAAAAAACTATTAATGTACTCCTAAAATAAACTGAAATCAAAAACCAATATCAAAAAACTATATAAAAGTATAAAAACTATACCAACTCTGCTACACACAAACCTTTTATCAAAGTCAAGTCCTAATAAAATATTTCCTCATCTACCTAAAAACATAAATGAGATATAGATTGAAAGCTTAGAATCTGCACTTTAAACAGTTTTTCTGTATGTTTCAGTGAGTGAGACATTATTAATATATAATATAAGAAGAGAAGATGAGTTTCTAGGAGCAGATGAACAGATCCAGATCCTGCCTGAGTTTCTTAAACACACAGAAGCACAGAGATGACTGTAGGATGATGAAGTGAGTGTGTGTTTGAACTCCACACTCTGAAGGATAATGGATAATAGATGTGAGAGTTGTGTTAGTCAGCTGGGCCTGTAGCTCGGCCTGCTGTTTTAATACAGCTCTGCCTCTGAAAGCTTCACTCACATACTCCACTCAGCAGACGCCCTGCTTCTCATCCTGCTTCTGATCCTGCTGCTGCTTCTACTGCTGGATCTGCAGGCTGAGTCACCCACTACTAATCCATACTGTCTGCATGGGCTGCTCTCAGTTTGCAGCATTATTTTATTGGATTATGTATGGGAGTTTCCTGTGGCTCTCTCTTCCTTTCTCTCTGTCTCCCCCTCTCTGTCTGCTTCTTATCCCTCTATGTCTCTGTCTCTTTCTCTGTCTCTCTTTCTGTCTCTCTCCCTTTCCTTTCTTTCTTTTCCTCACTCTCTCTCACTGTCCTTTCCTCACATTCTCACTCTCCTCTCTCTTTCTTTCTTACTCTCTCACACTTTCTCCCCCAACCCAATAGTTTCTTCAGCAGACTTTTAGAAAGCATCTCCTCCTGCAGTTTTTAAACTACCAGGCTTATAAGCATCCTTTGCCCTTTGGAGTTGTTTTGTGCTTTTTAGGTGGGCTGATCATTCATGGTCCCCTTTTTCATTCCTCTATTCTTCAATTTTTCCCTATAAACATTTTTCATATTTTCTTATTTTTCCTGAGGTCCACTTATGATGTTTATGTGGTTTTACGTACCCCAAACTGTTTTTTTATGTCCATTTTCTGACCTGTCTTTATCCTTTAGAATTAAACAGGCTGTTTTTGTTATTTATTATTATAACATCTTTAAGACTGAAATATGTAAATGACCTCTGTTCTGATTGGTTGCTCTGTATTGTGCTACATTCATAAAACACTCTGGGCAGAAACAGTCCTTATCATTTTAACGTGAAAGGATGGAGATATATATATTTTTTTTGACATCACAAAAAGTGTGTGCTTAGTGACCAAAATCATGTGTGTGTGTGTGTGTGTGTGTGTTCTGGGGTGAGTTTAAGTGGTGTTAGCTTATTTGTGGGTGGTGTGTGTCTCTCTATGTTTTTTCTGTGTGTCTTGAAGCTGGATGTGTGTGTGTGTGTGTGTGTGTGTGTGTGTTATACAGGACCAGCTGGCATATACAGACCCACAGGGAGGATTTTGTGTGTGGTGTGTGGGGGTCAGTGAGAGTGTGGGTGGGGAGGGGCCAGAGGTTTGGAGATTGCTTTTAAAAGCAAAACTCTGCTGAGATTTTACACTTTCACTGCAGGGGGCATCAGGAACAGAGCGATTGCAAGTGTGTGTGCGTGTGTGTATGTGTGTGTTTGTGTTTGTGATTGTGTTTGTGATTGTCTGTGCTTGTGTGTGTATGTTTGTATGTTGTGTGTGTGTGTGTGTGTGTGTGTGTGTGTGTGTGTGTGTGTGTGCATTTTTGTCTGGATTATTTACAGAAGCTGTTGCCAGAGGTTTGCTAACCACATGTTGTACCCGCACAATGCCAATACTCAGCCTTCGTTTGGCACAAGGTTGTAAACCCTGAGGGTCTGATCTACATCCTCCAAATTCACAGGGCGCTGAATTCCCCTTTCACATCCAGACTAATCACACAGATATACACAGAAAAAATGACTGAAGGCAGATCGACAGGCAGAAGGAAAACACTCCATCAAGGGACTTATTAGACTTACAAACTGAAAATATGTCGACATTACACAAACGTCATTTTATGTTATGACAGCATACATGTATGCTGACACTACTCTGTTTGACTGAATGGAAATTTGTGCCATACTTACATTGTTACTGTGACATGTAACTTCATTGGAGAAGATAAAAACACATTTAACCCCTTAAAATCACAGACTTATTTCATATTAAGACCTATTATTCAGTAAATAATGCCCTGGTCTGTTAAGGGGCAAACTTAAATATATCCAGTGAACATTGACTGTTAGAGTTCAGGTCCAAAATGTCAAAAAAAGAGAAAAAAAAACATCTCTTTGATAATGCTAATTTCTGGTTGCACTGCTGTGGGACTTTTAGTACTATGTTAGCACTAAGCTAACACAGGAGCACACGAATATACTGTTCTATATTAAATACAAACTTTTGAAGCTTGTAACTTTTAAAGCATGTCATTCCATGTTTTTATGAGGCTTATAAAAGACATGTTAACAGATTTTACTCATATGTTACAGTTTTACAGTGAGTTTTTCAGAAAAGAGCTCTCCATTCCCTTAAAACTGACTGAAACCTGGCTAGACTACCACTTGTATTTGCTGATAATGATGTCTCTAGGACTTTGAGAAGGTCTTAAGTGATATTTCTTCTCACAGGATTGGTACCATTCACTGTAAATTATAATTGGTTGATTCTACTGTTGTTTCATAATTGTAATGGTAGTTAATCTAACATGTTAGGCCTTCTGTCCATGTCTGTCAAGTTGTAACCAATGGGAGAGCTTCCTTGGCAGCATCCACCTACGTACCACAGAGAAATAAATCCTGATTGGGTGATGTTCTACTGGATATTCCATAATTTTAACCTTTTTGTTTCTAAGCAAAACTTAACAGTGATTTAAGAGTATTACTACTGTTGTATTTTAATGCAACAAAGGACTAAAAATGACAAACATGTATTGTTTTATGTTCCCAGAAACCTTAAGACCTTCTCTGAAGGTTTAGAAGACCCTGAGGGTTCCCCACTGAGTATATGTTAATGTAATTTCAAGTCTCAAGTGAATTTGGGACTTTTTTTGTCTATTCAGCATGTAATGATAAAAATCTAACACACAAGGATGGAGTTATGAGGTTTTGATATAAATATGACAAAATCAAGTTCGCAATTTTTTTTTCAGCAATATCAAGGCTGAAAGAAAAAAATGGAACACTGAAAGATAGAGAGGCAGGCAGAAAGATGGACAGAGAGGCAGAACGAGAGAGAGACAGGAAAGAATGAAAAGACAGAAGGAGAGACAGGCAGACAAACAAAGACAGATGGAGGAAAGAGTGACAGACAGGTTAATACATAATCAAACAGAAAGATGGACAAATAGTGGGAAGACAGACAAACAGACAGGTAAACAGACACATAGACAGACATGAAAGGCTGTTCCTCTTGGAAAAGGCAAAGGGAGAAGGCCAGACAGTCAGCCAGCCAGACTAAATGGGATTTAGCATAGCAGACTGCAGTTTAACATTGAGCTCTACATGCTCAGCTGCTGCCGCTGCTCTTGGCAATATTCAGTGCTTATGTTTGCACAATAGAGCAGAAGAGTGAGAGCTTTTTCATGTTCCACTGCAGAGGTGATCTGTGGGACTATGCTGTTGGTCACTGACACTGAGATGTAATGTCTGAATGTGGTTTATATCTTCTCTGTCTCTTGGATCATTACTATTTTATTATGTTCCTCTGAAAATATACAGTTAAAAAACAAAACAAACAAACAAACCAAAAAAACGGTAGTCCAACTGCGGGGGCACCAGACAAATCCTGTTAATTAAGTAAAGATTAATTAGTTAAAAGTATGTTTTTTCAATGATGGTAAAAATCTGTAAAAAGACAGTCATTTTCTTTCTTAGAAATTCTGCAGTACAGTAGTTCTACAGAAATATACAGTTTCACTCCGTGAAATGAATGTAAAAAATGCTTTTGTGTAGCTACATTGGATTTCTGTTAATTAGTAACAGGAGTGTTACAATACAGCATTAATTGGTTATTGGTCATCATATACAGACAAGTCAGGGGCAATCGCAGACAGCACATAAAAGTGGTCATTCTCATTTCTCTCTCAGGTGAGCGGTGTGAGTTTGACCGCCGGGCCGGACGCTGTGTGGCTGGCGTGTGTCGTAACGGAGGGACGTGTCGGGAGCTGTCTGGTGGTGGGTTCCGCTGTGAGTGCCCTGCGGGGGGCTATGAGAGACCCTACTGCACTGTCACCACACGCTCATTCCTCCCTAAATCCTTTATCATGTTCAGGGGGCTGCGCCAGAGATTCCACCTGTCCATCTCTCTCTCGTGAGTACACAAACACATCGTGCTGCTTGACACAAAAAAACATTATACTGCTTTTCTTTGAAAATGTATTGCTAGACAATATGAATAGAATCACAATAAAAGTACTGATATTTGTAAATGTCATTGGAAATCTTGCCAGGCACTCTACTTACAAACACACTCCCATGCAAAAAATTATATCTTGGCAAGTGAAATTATCTGTATGTAGTCAATATATTTAATATTTCTCATTTTGAAATTGTTGTAAGAATATTAGAAATTCGTTTAACTTATTTCTAGACAGTTTTCATTTGATTTAAGCCATTTTATCATGTGTATTTTAAACTATTAGCAAATAATATTACTGGTTTTAAGTTTGTACAAAAAAAAAACCCTCTGTGATGATACTAATTTCTGCAAGCACCCCTATGGGATTCCACGTATTATGTTAGCAATAAGCTAATGGTGGTGCACATGAACATTTTTGACCACTCTTAAAATTAAACATGGATAATTTAAACTTTAAAAAAACATTCCATATGCTTTATTTGAAGTTTGTAACTGACATTTACATATTGTCACGCCTCTCGTCAGCTCCACTGAAATCTCTGCTCCCCACTCTGTTGTGAACTCCAACTCCCAGAATCCTCTGGGAGGTCACCTGACTCTGGACTCTTTACAGTCCACCTATCCACTTTCTACCTCCCCGATTACTGATTTCTATTACTCATATCTCACCCTATATAACCTGTCTGTGTTCACTGTCACTTTACAAAGTATGGTTTCAGACCTTTTTGCCTGCCTTTTTGACTTGGTCTGTGGTCTATGTACATACCTGTTAGCCTTTGTTTGACCTTAGCCTGTTTCTGGATTACGTCACTGGTTTGTCCCTTTATTAAACGTTTTAACCAACAGTGAACTCTGCTCTCGTCTGATCCATCCAGATACCTCACACACATGCAGTACTGTGCAAAAGGCACATAAATAGTTGTGTAAAATCATTTATCTGGGCAGGTAGTGTGTTTTGGCCTGTAAAAGCACTTCTCCCCAGTGCCATCATGTATCCACTATGTGTCTAAATTCCAGCAGCAGCTCACCTGATTTAACATAAAGAAGATTTTAATAGCCAAACTAGATGTTTATTGATAATTGCAAATAATACTGGCAAGGAGAGGTTTGGAAATGGTTAAAGGAACACACTGACATGCATAAAATCACTGCTGATTATTACTGTTATTTCTATGTATTCTAATACATATACATACATCATCTAAACCGCTTATCCTTCTGGGTCGCGGTTGGGTGCTGGAGCCTATCCCAGCTGTCATTGGGCGGAAGGCAGGATACACCCTGGACAGGTCGCCAGTCCATCGCAGGGAATGTGTATTCTAATGTTATAGATAATAAATAATAATAAACTAATGTTAGTGTTTTTCTGAGTGTTTTTCTGAAATAAGTACTTTCTTTGCAGTGCAACTGTGCTGCATTGTGTCTATTAAACCTTTTAGGACTGGCTGAGTATCATAAAACATCTCAATTTCCCATCTGTGAGGCGAGAAATGAGTGAAAATGAATGACAGATAGAGAGAGGACACTGTGTGTATTGGGTGTTGCCAGCCTTTCTGTCATGTTTTTTTTTCTTCGCTCTCTATCTTTCTTCTCATTTAGACCTCACGCTCATGTGGATTTCCATCTCCCTCTCTCTCTCCTCTCTCTCTCTCTCTCTCTCTCTTTCATCCTCTCTCACTCTCTCGCACTCTCTCTCACTTCTTTCTTTCATCTCTCTCTTTTTTCCCTCTCATCTCTTTCCCATTGTGAGTGCTATATCCTGTGTTCTCGTGCGTTGTGATTGGTCAGAGTTTGGTTGCTATAGTGTAGAGGTCATATAATGGATGTTGGCTTTGAATCCCCATGATGAGTGAAACAGATAATTTATTTAGTAACGCCATCCAGCACTAACAATAAGCAAACAAAAGCACCACTAAGTCTCCTCTCCCTCGATACCAAGCAACATTTTATCTCTCCCTTTCTTCCTCTCCATGCCACTCTCTTTCGTTCTGTTTCTATATTAACTTCTCTACTCTCTCTCTCACACATGTGCCCACAAAAGCATGCACAAACACACACACACACACACACACACACGCACACTCTATATGTTCCATTAGAGACCCCGGCCCTGACCCTGATAAAGTCTATTACATCAACACACACTCACAAACAATACAAAGTGACTTTGTCTACAAGCATTGGTATTGAAAACAGTATGACAATTTGGGTTAAAGGGGAGTTCCACCAATTTTTCAAAATTTTTGAATAATGCAACCGTTGTAAACAAAATCATTCAGAGTGGTTTGATGTGAAATTGTTCTTTGATGGTTCAACACCCTGCATGTAGCCCTCCACCATGAATGTATTTTTTTGAAAATGTGTCATGTGGACACATTACAGTTAGTCACATTTTTATAGCGTGTGTTTCCTGTTATTGTCCAGTCAGTGTCAGTTTTGGTGTTTGTTTTCTGATGTTTTGTTCTTACCACGGTGGTAGACAGAACCAGACACTTGCAGAAGAGGTGTTAAGAGCTTTAATGCCAAAAGGATGATCCAAAACCACAGTCGAAAAACCATAGTTGAAAACCAGAAAACGCATAAAAAGCAAGGTTATGAATGAAAAACAGGTCATACATGTAAATGGGTAAAGAGACATGAAGGAAACGCAAAGTGTAGGTGCAAATAGACTGATTATATACACAGAGAAACAGGTGTAAGTGATTTGGAAGTCCGGAGAGGCTGAGCATTGATAGGTGGATCTGGAGGAGCCCTGAACCATATGATGGAGTGAGGGGCTCTGGGAATTGTAGTCCGAGGCGGCCGAGTTGGCTGTAGTTTCAGCCAGGCTGGAGGGAGGCGTGACACCTGTGTAGTTGTGTGGGTGGGAGATCTGGGGGATATCAGATATGTACATTGATAAATGTCATATGCAGATGTTTGTAAAAATATCGTCCATTTAAAATATTAAAATTCCTCTAATACATGTGTGGGTGGGGGTTGGAGGGATTTGGTTCTGAGAGGCCAGAAAAAACAAAGATTAATGAATAAATAAAAATCAATGAATGAAAACTTTGTATCAGACCTATCATAAAATAATGTCTCAGGCACCAGGCAACTTATTTACAACCTTTTTGTGCTTTGGATGTCTGGTTCCTGTCACCCCCACTGTGAACAGTTCTGACTCTGTAAGGTCCTCTAGAACAGGACCTTTCATATTTCTTTGATCTTATCCGTTTAATTATGCAGAAGTGTTGAAAATTTGGTGTAATAATCCTTTAAATTGAGTAGGCCCATGGCTTACTATAACACTATTTTCACTACTAAAATAAGAATTAAAAGGAACTAAAGGGCATTTTAATAGTCAAGTCACATCAGCTTAAAGAGTACATTTAGAATCAACAAGCACTGGCCAAAGCAGAGTGAAATATAGTTGTTTTGGAAAGGCTAATATAGTGTCAAAATACATTAAAAGAATAAAAAGAGAGTGATACAGAAACTGGAAACTATGCAATTCATAGGAAATTTCGTTGAGACTCCACAGACCTTAGGTAGAAATACAGTTGTAGATAAATTTAACTGTGCTGCATATATGATTGTATATAATGCATTATTGTGATGTGTGTTACAGGTTTGCCACTCTAGAGAACAGTGGGCTGCTATTTTATAATGGACGGTTCAATGAGAAACATGACTTCCTAGCTTTGGAGATACTAGATGGACAAGTGGTGCTGAAGTACTCCACAGGTTAGTGTATATGTGTATAGTACTGTGCAAAAGTTAGAGACCAGCCTTCAGTTATTTAATTTCCAGTCAAAGCCACCATTAAGTACAAATGATTTCTGATGAGATTATTATAATAAGATTTGCATAAAGAGGGAGAAAACTGCCACTGATAAACGATATTAAAGCTTTCGTCTTTGAGAGATCTGAAAAACATTAAATGTTTCTGTCCATCCTTCCACTGTGAGAAGACAACTCAATGCTATGAGTCTGAAAGGATGACTAAGGACTGAAGTTTGGAAGCATGGAAAATATTCCTGCAGATTTATTTAAAAGCAAGTCTCCTGAAAAGAATGGAAGCTGTAGGGTGGACACACGAAGCACTGACAAATAAATATGTTGTACTTAATGGCTGTTTTGACTGTGAATTAAATAACTGAAGGTTGGTCTCTGACTTTTGCACAGTAACTTATATGAATGTGTGGGGGAGGTGGGGGGTGTAGGTGTGTGTGAGTCTGAGACTGAGACTGATCTGTGTCTGATCTGTGACTGATCTGTGTGTTGATCTGTCTGTGTTCTTTGCCTCAGGTGAGTCCTCCACACAGGTGAGTCCATACTTGCCCGGAGGAGTGAGTGATGGGAACTGGCACACTGTCCACATCCACTACTATAACAAGGTCAGTCTGTGTGTGTGTATGTAGGTTTGTTTATGAATGCAGCTGTGTCACTGTAGTCCAGCAGGGTGTCACTTATTCTTACTGAGAAATACTTGCTTTTATCCCCATTAAATGACCAGGGCCCGTAGGTAGGCCCAAAGTTTTATTACACACTTCTATAACCTAAGAATAGCTCAACCAGTTTGCAATGAAGTCCCTGTAGTTATGGATGATAAGGCTTAGTATGTAATAAGCCTGGCATTTTTAAGGAGTTAAGTGATTAGCAATGACTAAAAAAGGGTGCTTTAACCAAAATGAAAAACCTTTGCTATATGTTTTGCAAACATGTCTACTCGCCTTTTACATTGGTGCCACAATAGTCCCAAGAGTAAGATTTCTTGGTTTAAAGACTAGGAAAACTTTTCAAAAAACTACAGGCACTTTGGGGCGGATACATGAGGGCAGGCTTTTTTTAATGCAAAAGGAAGCCAGATAGCGGATATTATTTCTGTCTTGCCTTGGAATTCCCAGTGGTTAAATGACATACTGGTATAATGCACACTGGGTATTGTAGGAGGAGAACATTGGATACACTCTGTACAAAGGATACAAAAGGGTGGATTCTGTCAAACCAGCTGAGGAATTACATGCTGCACTACAGGATACTACAAAAATACATAACAGCACAAATGATAATGTTAAATGCTAGTTTTATGTCAGAATGCCTGTTTACCTGTATGATGTGAACTACTGTGTAACTGCTGGTTATGAACTGAACACAAATTCCTTGAACATGTTTGGCCAGATAGCCTAATTCTATTTCTATTCTAAACCCTTTGAATTGCCTTTGGTTTTCATTACATAATTATTTTATTTAATTGAATTTAATTAATTCTATAATTAATTACACAGTTTCACATTGAATTACATTTACATTTGATTTACATTCTGTATTATTTTCAAGTAATCACAAACACAAAGCAAAAGGATGTTTTTTACTCAAAGCAAGATGGTTTGCGCAACAATAACATTTCACCAAATTCAAATTATAAAATATAATTAAATAAATCTCCACTTTTACTAATGAACACAAATGTGGGATTGATTGCAAGTTTAGAATCTGCACTTTGCAATAGAATTTCTCCACATTTCAGTGACTTCACTCTCACTTTCAGTGAGTGAGAAGTAATGAAACAAAATTTAAGAAGGGGGGCTTTAAGATGGATGTTCTATACAGGACTTAGGAGGCTTAGCCATAAAGCATTAACTGCACTAATGTAAAGACTGTATATATGTGTTTGTGTGTTGCAGCCTAAGCGGAGTGTTAGCGGGGAAGTTCAGGGTCCGTCTGATGAGAAGATGGCGGTGGTGAGTGTAGATGACTGTGACACTGCCATTGCGCTCAGGTTTGGAATTCAGCTGGGAAACTACAGCTGTGCGGCTCAGGGCAAACAGAGCAGCAGCAAGAAGTAAGTACACCCATACACACTCATACATGCTCACACACACACATTTATTATATGGCCCCTGCCATACAGAAGTTTGAACATCCTGAGTCAGATCACATGTTTTGTTGTTTTTCTAAGATCCTCTACACACCCTCTACTGGAGGTCTACCTAGCACACCTGGCTGTAATATCCATTAGCTGGATCAGGTATATTAGATTAGGGGTGGAGCTAAACTCTGCAGAGTGGCAGATCACCAGCAGGACTGGGCATCCCTGCTCTTAGGGAAACAAACTTAAATATGACATTCTTTTGCAAATTTTAGTGCACAGTTTGAATTTATTTTAGTTTAACACAGAGGTCAGAGGATGTGTACAAATGTGTACTTGGAGCAGGGGCGCTCAAACCTTTGCATACACCTCTATGCATAAATTCACCATACAAGCACGTACTCTAACTGACTTTCTCTCTCTCCCAGTTCAGTAGTACTTTAATGGCACGTTATGTAAACATAAATAAGAGAAATAATAAAAATAGATGTAGATTAGAGTAGAAGACTAGAAATTAAATTATTTACAGGATTTTTAGTCTACCAATGAAAGATAAAAAAAATGAGACATTATATCTCTCTTTCTCTCTTTCTCTTTCTCTCTCTCGTTCTGTTTCTCTCTCTCTCTCTCTCTCTCTCTCTCTCTCTCTCTCTCTCTCAGATCTTTGGATCTAACTGGGCCGTTGTTTCTGGGTGGAGTGCCAAACGTTCCAGACAATTTTCCGTTTGGAACGAGGGAGTTTATTGGCTGTATGAAGGACCTGCACATCGACAACAGACCGGTGGACATGGCAGGATACGTAGCTAACAACGGCACTCTGCCAGGTGTGTGTGTGTGTGTGTGTAGGGAGTGAGGATAAATGTGTTGGTTTGTGTATATATTAAAGCTGCTAATGCCAAAATCTGTTCTGCTGAATGTGACAGTAGTGATGTCATTGCATACACTATTGTTCAAAAGTTTGGGAACACTTTGCCTTCTTAATAATATTTGGTTTTAACTATTACTATGATAAAATAATGATTTAACAGTATCTTTTCTAAACTCTTATTAAAGCACATAGTGACATAGACATTAAGCAGTGTAATTGTGGGTGATGTCTTCAGTACAGTGCGATGTGATTGGTGTAGTTTGTGATGAAGTCATTTTGCTTGGCTCTAAAAGGCTGCAGTGCTAAGCTGCCCTTCTGTAAGTCCAACCCCTGCCAAAATGGAGGCACCTGCAGAGTCAGCTGGGAAACCTTCTCCTGTGACTGCCCTCTGGGCTTTGGTGGCAAGGACTGTAGCCACGGTGAGAGACACATTACACACACACATACTGTAGCCTGACTAGGACATTGTGTGGCGGATAATACCAGCTGATTTCGATGACTTGTGCTTTTGTCAGTGAAGATACTGCTGATAATTTCTGACTTTTTTGGTCATGGCATCACTGGGATTCAAACTTACAACCTCCTGAAGTTAGGGCAAACCTAAACCATAGACAGGCAGGAAACTGAAGTTACCCTTGTTTAAGTAGATTCCAGTTTCTGCTGTTAATTTGAGTTAAAGAAACTTGACCATTGAGAACTGAGCACTATGTAACTAAAATTATTAGCATTAATACAAAATTATATCTGTTGATATTAACCCTTAGCCAAATTTTTAGCCTCCTAAAATCATTATCGCTATTGGCCGCAAAATTTTCACATCAGTTGGGCCGTAATGCATACACTCACATCCTTATGCAATCCTTTTATCTTCTTTAGCTCTCTTCTGTCTGCCCTCTATTTTTATTTTGCCCTTTTCTTCGTCTCCCTTTGATTTCCAATGATTTACTTGACAAATAATTAAAGTATCTTCATGATGGTGCTCTTATTACACATCTCTTCAGTTTTGTTGGCATTGTGTGCATATGGCATTAAATATTCACAAGATCACTGGGTGTTCCGCTGCATGGGACGAGGCATCTTGCCGTCTGTTACCAAAACAAACACAGCTTGCTGAAAGACGGAGATAATTAGCCAGTTTGGATCACTAGCGCTAAGAGATGAGATGAGATGGCTTTGATTTAAAACCAGCCCTATAACAGTGCTGCCAGCTGATTACATGACCCCGCCTCCTCTGCAGTGATGCCACACCCCCACCGTTTCCTCGGCAACAGTGCTCTGTGGTGGGATCTGAAGAATGATGTCACCATCAGCACGCCCTGGTATCTGGGGCTGGTGTTCCGCACCCGGGCCAAAGAGGGCGTTCTGCTGCAGGCACAGGCTGAACAATACACGCACTTGATCTTTCAGGTGGGTTTAACTCTCTCTTTCATTCCCACTCACTGTCTACTTTATTAGAACCACATAAGTGTGTTTACATGCTTTAATAATCTGATAACTGCAGAAAATCTGATTTTGACAGGAATCTGATCAATGTGTTTAGATGCACTTGAGTAATCAGATAATGGGAAACTCCGGGTCTACATGGGTCAGGCAGTAATTGGACTTCTGCTTTGCAACTGGCCAATAAACTCAGACTAAGAGTTAGTCTGCGCAGACTAAGAAATCCAAAAGAAATCAGAGTAAGAGTACCCATGCACTAAGAAATCTGATTACTGAGCTAAAATCTAGCACTATTTATTGGATTTCTTAATCAGATTTTTAGACTTCAAACTAAAAAATCAGAGTATGCTGTTTACATGACCATTTGAATAATCAGATAAATGCAGAAATATTTTTTGTTATATATTCATAGAATTTGTATTCCAGATTAAAAGACTAAAGCATGCCGTAACTGCCTCAAGTCTGTGACCCACAGACATCACTCTCACTTCATTTGAAATGCTCTGCCAAGCCATAACGCCAGTCTCTTTCAGTTGGTATTTATTTCGGGGGTGTTCTGAAATCAGTTTCCTCTTCTACAGGTGAAATGCATGTCCAGTTGAATTTAAATCAGGAGGCTTTCAGCCTTTTCTTTCTCATAAACTCTTCGTTTAAGTGATATACTCTGCTCGTTGTCTTGATACACTATGAATTTCCACGCCAGTGAGTTTTTGCATGGACTTGGGAAGACAAGATGTTTATGCAGACTTCAGGATTCATTGTGCTTCTGCCATCATCAGTTACACCACCAGTGAAGCCCAATGAGCCAGTTCCAGGAGCAGCCATGCATGCCCAAGTGGTGAAGTGGTGTGCTCATGATCATTTGCAATCCATCCTTTTCTCCACACTTTTCACTTCCCATCGCTTTGATAAAGATTAATCTCTAGCTTATCTCTCCAGAACTGTTTGCTCCAAAACTCGTCCGTTCCATCTTTGTCCTTCTCTGTGAATTCTAACCATGCTCTTCTGTTTTTGATGCTGATGAGAGGTTTGCAGCTTGTAGTGTAGCTTCTGTATTCCTTCTCTTTAAGTCTTCTTCTTCAACCTTCACCTCTGCACTCTGTAGACTGTTTACTGTTTCTCTGGATTTTGCTTTTTTGTTTTTTTTTATCTCTCACTAGTTTCTTTTGCAAAATATTCCATATTCTTGTGTTTGAACAGTAGTTGTGCAGTGGTTCGGTTGGTATTTGCTCTATTTTCATTCATTCTGCTTTTTGTTCCTTTTCCGTCAAAACAAGATTCCTAGTACAAACTCCAATGATTTAAACATCTCTAAGATCGCACTTCTTTTACATGTTTACAATTACAGGTACATTGAAGACCTGAGCAATCAGATTCATCTGCCGTACATTTATCCCATTACTTATGCTCAGCTACAGTTGGTTGAGTTCACACAACAAATGACAAAAAACAGTATTATGTTACGTTGTTTGGAAAACATTGGCCAGAAATAAGCTGACATTCTGTCTCATGCTCTTGCTTTGATCTGAAATGCAATTTTTATGAACATATATCAAAGGTATTTTTGCTTCTCACTGTTGGTGTACAGTTACAGCCTGTAGCCCATATGCTGTCATCCCTGTGAATCTGGTCATAATTAATTCATTTAAAAAATCATTTTTATAATTAATTGTTATCAAAATTAACAAACATTTGCCATGACAAGGTAACCTGTCTGTTTATGTGAAGTGCGCAACAAATACATCAGTACAGTTGGTATATAAGGCATGGGTTTCTAACAAAGTACAGCTTTATTAAAAATCTTCACTTTATTAAATATAAACCTTCCTCCAGATGCCGCTCTCCCTTTCAGTGAAGCCCATTTTAAACTGTTCACTGTCTTATACAATGCTTGGTCATAGGCCCAGTATCCACTGTCCGTTAGACGCTGAGCAGAGCTGATGTGTGTTACGTTATGCTGTATTGAATAAAGGACTGGTTGTTTTTGCAGTTGACGGCAGGTCAGCTTGTCTTTTCTGTGGCGCGACGGTCAGCACAGCCTGTGCGGTTGCGGCTGGACCAGGTGCAGGTGTGTGACGGCCGCTGGCATGACCTGCAGCTGGAGCTCAGAGACATCCGGAGTGGACGAGAGACGCGCTATGTAGCTACTGTCAGACTGGACTTTGGACTGTACCAGGTGCACACACATATACACACACACAGACTCACACGAATATATATAATCATATGCAGAAATATGCAGCCCTCAAGGTAGTTTAGAAAAATGCACCGAAGGCATCACAGACAATGATACAGCGATAACGTTTCAGAATTTGCATGTCGATTCATAGATAAAAAATATGTATGTCCACATTAATTAGGCAAAGTTAATAGAATAAATGTTATCTTATTTTTGACCCACTGCATTCTTGCCTACTCTTAGGACCCATAGAATGCTATATTTCCAACATTTCAACTGATGACCTATCACTCACAAATGCATTCTTTCGGTCATTTAAGCTATGTTTGTCACTGCATAATACTGAATTTCCAGTTTAAACTGCCACTCTTCTGCTGCACTGTGCTAAAGTAGCCAATTAGACAGGTTGAAAACAACACCAACATAGCCTAGAATCAGATCTGTCCTAACAGTGTGACCATTCACATTTAATTGGAAATTGATTGTGCACTCAGATTTTGCTAAGAAAAAACAATTTGTGGGTGGAGCTTAGACAGGTCAGACTACAGACTCCAGACATTGAGGACATATTTATTTGTTTTGTACATCTGCAAATATCTACATATATACACAAACTGTGTCTACCTTGTTGTCAACAAGATATCATGAGGATATCAGCAGAGGGATCCCTCTGCTGATTGGGCCTCCTCTGAAGGCCTAGTAAGCCCTGAGGAGGCCCAATGTGGTCATATTTATTTATTAGAATCATCATGCTTGTTTTAGTATTGTAGTAATACTCTTATTTCATTGTTTAGTTTATGTTGAAAACAAAGGGGTTAAACACTTGAAATGACCAATGGAAAATTATCCAATTAGGAAGCTGTCCCATTGGTTAGAACTTCAGTTGCTGAACTGAATGCTTCATACATTATATTAAACAATACTTAGTAGCTGACAGAAAAAATCAACCAGTCAAGGTTGATTTACAATGGATGGGACCAATTTCCAGAGATTTTAAACTCTAGGCTTTCGGAATGTCTTACATACGTTGTATGAAAGCAAATACGAGCAGTAGCTTTACTGAAAGAGTTTCTTTGAAACTGCTACATACAAGGTAGAATATGTTATTGTCTGTTACAAGCATCATATAAACATATGGAATGTAGTTTACAAGCTTCCAATTTGTGTTTCATGTAGAACATGTCATATTGGTGACCTTCCGGGCCAAAGTGCTGCGGAGATTAGTGTTTACCCTCATCTAATGTTCTGAATTCGGTTCACGAAGCCCTTGCTAATCAGCTGATGAGCTAAATCAGGTGTGTTTAGTGAGGCAGTGTGCTGAAATCTGCAGTGTTTTCACCCCTGAGGACTGGAGCCTGACACATGTGACATGTCTGTCGTACATAATGTTAATGTGGACCTCTGTCAGCTTAGCGCTAACATATTACTAGAATCATGTAGAAATTAATATAGAAATTTCATATAGATTTTTTCACCACATTTTTAACTGGGTTTTATTATTTATGACAGACTTAAGCCTCAGCTCTGTTAGTTATGGTTTGCCCCACTGCCTAATCCTTTGATTTTCCCATGACAGACACATAAACAGAGTTCTACTTCTTCCCGTTCTTATCTCTCTCTCTCTCTCTCTCTCTCTTTCTCTCTCTTGTAGGGGACAGTAATAGTAGGCAATGAAATTCACGGGCTGAAGGTGAAGCATCTTCATGTGGGTGGCGTCTTGGGAGCCGGAGAGGTGCAGAGTGGAATACGTGGCTGTATACAGGTCAGTCACCACGGCAACCATGCCGGTCTCACCTTCTCTGATGAGACCTCTCTCACGTTGCCTCAACCGCCTCACAAATAATTAACTTGGGTGAAAAATTGACAATTAACGTTTCCTAATTGGGTCGTTAATTTGACAGAACGGTAAGGTAATTAACCAGAGCTTACACACCCAGAGCTAATTAAACACTCACCTATCCTGCTTTCAGTTTGACTTAAGTATTTAGTCTCAAACTTCTCTCAGAAGAGCACGGCTTCAGTTTTACTTTCTGTACTCATTAATCAACCCAGAGCTAATGATTACAGCGATGAAAGTTTCTAAAAAGCACTTAGGTGAGCTTGTTCAACATCCATCTTAAATTTATTTACTTATGCTTACCTGCAGTCATAGCATACAAACAGCATATGTGGTGTGAGCAGTCTAATATCATATTAATATTTTATAATAGAAAATAAATTGCTGTTATTAAAATTTTACTGTGATAAAGTAGTAGAGCACAAAAATTGAATATGTATGTATATTGTGGTTTTATTAACCGACTATAAGAGTCACACGACTGAGCGAGTGTTTAATACATCCTTGTTTCTATGTGTTTTTATAGGGGGTGCGTTTGGGGGTGCGTCCTGATTCCCCTGCCTTGCCCCGCCCCTCCAGAACCATCAAAGTGGAGACTGGATGTAATGTTGGCAACCCATGTAACTCCTCCCCCTGCCCCGCCCACAGCCGCTGCGCTGATGAATGGGAGCGGCACACCTGCATTTGTGAGCCAGGTAAAATAGAGGGGAGTGTTTGTGTGTGGAAGGGAGCCTCTACAGTATAAGTCAGCAATTTCCAAAACATTTTTGCTAAATATAAATTTTTTGTCTTAGCACTTTCATGTCCTTAGCACGGTAAGGAAAAATGCCACAGAACGTGTGCTGACGGGTCTTATTGGGATTTTCGTTTAGCTTTTGTATAGTTATACCTTGGATAAGCATCTAATAATGAGTGCATTTACATGCACTTAATAATCCGATAACTGCAGAAAATCAGATTTTGTCAGTAATCCGATCATCATTTATATGCACTTGAGTAATAAGATAATGGGGAAACTCTGGGTCTACATGAGTCAGGCAGTAATCGGATTTCTGCTTTGCAATGAGCCAATAAACTCACAGAAGAAGACGTGACGTGAACGTAATGTAAATCTTAAACTTCATGTCACGTCTTTTTTTTTAAACATTGCGCCACTTTACCTGAAAATATGAACATACATCATCTAGAAGATAAAGAATATTTAAATCCTTCATTTTGTCAAACATGTAGTTGGTTACAGCATCACTCCAGGAGTGTTTTGCTGCCGTCTTGTGGCAACGCTGCTTGCTTATTTCCAGTACCGCCATCTGTTTTCGCACATGTGCAGACTGAGAAATCCGAAAGAAATCAGAGTAAAATCCAGCTCTCTTTATCGAATTTCTTAATCAGATTTCTAGACCATACTCCGATCTAAGAAATCAGAGAATGCTATTTACATGACCATTTGAATAATCTGTTAACAGCAGAAATCTGATTATGATCGTATTTGTGAGTGCATGTAAACAAGCTCAATTAGATTTTAAAAAAATAGTAAACTTTGGTTCCAAATCAAATTAGGAATTTCTGTTGTTTTGGCTAAAAACCAGTATTCCCATATGACCAAAAGCATAAACAAAGTAGAAAAAATGATTTTTTTTTTACTTTGCTGAGTAAATGATAATATATTAACTTCTACTCAAGTACATTTGTGAACAAAGGAATGTACTTTTTACTCAGTTCTACTTTAGACGTTCACACTGAGTTATTAATTCTCTTTTTGGGATTTTAATTCATTTTGTTCTGTTGGTGGATCCTACACTGCTTTGAACTTCAGTTAACAGGCCTCAGTTGCTATGCTGATAGATGTTAGATGTACTAAGGGATTCCATCTATGGGGAGCTGAATACTTGAGTTTCCGAGTTTTGAGCTTTTGGCCTGACTTTCTTTTGGTAATGCTTTCTTTTACAGTCTCTTAGGTTCTGTGAATTAACCAGGTAAGCATGAGGTACAAACTGCAAAGTACTGGATCATTTTTTGTATAACATGATGGTAAGTTCGAAAACAGCAACTAAATTACACTGAAATACCCAACAGGTTCTATGTATTAACTCAGTAAGTGTGAGTACAAACTCCGAAGCGCTGTGTAATTATTTTGGCTAAAATGGTGGTAAGTACTAAAAAACTATATTGAAATTCCTTGCAGGTTTTAGTTATTAATGCCATAAAGGCAATAGTAAAATATCTCATTATTGGATATGGGAATTTTTGGATGAGGTGACAAGTGCAATCAAACAAACATTTAAGCAGGAACGTAAACTGGAACGTAGCAGGTAGTTATATGGGTTAAAAAGACATAAGAGTGTAAGAGATGCTATGATTTTACTGTATTCTTACCATTTACTTCAATAATTTCCTGTTTGCAATATAGATACCAATATTGAATAATGTTTTAATGTCCATATCCTTTGGTTCAAATGCTCTCTGAGCACAAATCTGAAGAAATTTTCTAATTAAAACTGTACGTCTAAAAAGTGAGGTTTTAGCCCTGAATGTATAATTTTAAATTTAGTCTTTTAGCCACATGGGACTGCTGATAGAAAACCCATGTAAATGGTAAGGGCCCAGTAAAACCATAATAAGAATCATTGCTTTCTTTTAAAGCTCAGATTCAGATCAGAGACTTTTCCAGTTTACTTAATTGCTTTAAGGGCCTTTATCTCTTGTATTTTATTTTTTATGACATTTATGTATGTTTATGTATCAAGAACAGCCATAGTTCATTTGACCAATTTCCAACATCCCCTTATTTCTTAGAATTAATCAGGCAGTTTTCATCCCTGTGCCTTTAACACTGGTATATGTAAATGAGCTCTGTTCTGATTGGCTGTCCTGTATTGTGCCTCATTCAAAAAGCAGTCTAGACTAAAACACTCTTTCATCTTGAGTTGGTGGGGCTAAACTGCTGTAGGCTGAGTAGACAGATATATCGTTGCTGTCCAAAGAAAACTAGTAAAAAGTATCTCCAAAATAGCAACTTTACAGGAGAGGGCAAAAATGTTCTTTGCTTTCAATGTAAGTCAATGGAAAGAGGTTTTATTCAAAGCAGTTTTGGAGCGTTTGTATTGGTCCAATCATCATGAGTTTTTCACATAATGTAAAGGACAGCTGCTCAGCTCAAATGATGCAGAAAAGTAAAAATCGTGAAAAATGGAGATATATGTTTTTCATTGGACAGCGACAATATGTAAATGCATTGCTTTTTTGTGACATCACAAAAACATTGAACTTCATTTGCAACTTCTATATATAAACTGTACGGACTGTGATATTTCAAATAAACAAGAAAATTCGTTTTTTCCATCAAATGGGCCCATCAAAAGTGTGTTAGTTTGTATTTTGTTTGAACCTAACATTATTTTACTCCAAAAAAAAAATCAGTCTATGAGATTTTTGATTACGATCTTTGTCACGTTAACCCTTTACATAGCCAGAGCCCACCGGCAGACCCACAGTTTTATTACACATTCTGTAACCTAAGAATAGCTCAACCAGTTTGCATTAAAGAATAAGTCTTAGTATGTAATAAGCCTGGGATTTTAAAGGGTTAATAGCTAATAGTAGTGTTAGTGTCTGGTGAGTTACTTATCATTTTGCCCAAAATAAATAAAGTGCACTTTGAAGTTTGTGCTTCACATTTATTTATTCAATACGTAGAACCTCCTGGGCATTTCAGTGTAATTTAAATCAAATCAAATCAAATCACATTTGTTGTCACATTTACACAGATGTGAAGGTGAGTGAAAATCTTGGGTGCATAGCCCCCTTGAAGTACTTACATATGCAAAAAATATATAAGAATATACATATATAGGTGTTTATGTGATGTGGATTGTTTGTGGAGGTCATGATGATGATGATGATTCAGAGGTGTAGTGAAAGGCCCACAGACCAAAACATCAGCACTACTGTTGGCACACAAAAACACCAGCACACCGTTCAGCAGCCTGATGGCCCAGGGGAAGAAACTGTCTTGGAACCGGCTGGTTCTGGACTTTATGCTTCTGTACCTTCTTCCGCCCTGCAGCTGTGAGAACAGACAGTGGCTTGGGTGGGTGCAGTCCTTTAGAATCTTTCTGGTCTTTCTCATTCAGCAGCTGGTGTATAATTTAGTTATAAACTTGGAACTTACCATCCTGTTACCCAAAATAACTACCTAGTACATCATTTGGTTAATACATAGAACCAAGAGGACTGTAGAAGAAAGATTATCATTTTTTTACTTCTACTTGAGTCATTAGGTCAACAGAGTAACAATACTTTAGGATTTAGGATTCTCTCCCCACCTTTGACTCACTATAATTTTAGGGAGATGACTCAGCTTCAACATCTCGTTTGACACCATCAGGTTATTTATTCTGTGGGTTAAAATAAAAGATTCATATGCAGGTGAGAACACAGAGAGAGAAAGCCGGTGAAAGTTTCAGAGAGTTACATTAATAAAGAAGCTAATCTATTTGTACTTGAGCTGACAGAACAGAGAGAGAGAGAGAAAGAGAGAGAGAGAGGAACATGGAAGAGCCTTAAGGCAAAGGCATGGGATGCTGGGATCCTGATCGGCCTACGGCACACACACACACGCGCGCGCGCTTATAAACCACCACTTCATTACTCCGCCTGTAAAGTTGCATCAGCAGCCTAAGTGTTATTAATAGTTCTCAGCTCTAAGAGGAATCAAAGAGCGCTATCATAAACTCTAAATAATTCTCTCTCATCTCACCAGGATAGAGTATAGCCCACGCTAATGAAGCCCCTCATCCTTCCTCCTCATCCTCACATGCACTGCACAGCAGGCATTCAGAGACACAGACACAAACACACACGCTAAGATACAAACACACCATAAACAAAGTCTTTATGGTCAGCAGGTCTAATAGCACTGTAGTAGTTAATATGAGTATGAATACTACATGAAAGAAGATAATATTAATCTCTCACTCAGCCTTTTTAATTAGATGTGATAGATAATCATTGTACTGCTCACAAATGGTGTTTTAGCTCCAAAAAGTTAGTTACCGGGCTGCTTTAATAAAAAAAAAAAATGAGTCCATGAACTTCTATGAGCATCTAATTGTAAGTTAACAGAACAAGAATCTGTGAATGTGTCTTACGCTCTTTTAAGTTTTTAAGTCTTTAAGTTAAGCAGTGTGCAAAAGTGAAAAATTACATGCTCTGTTGATTTTCCAAGTGAAAATACAGGAAACAAACTTAAATATAGTAATTTCCTGTAGGGTTTAGTACACAATTTCTTACTTTTGCACAGGCTACATTTTATGTTTTATTTTTTTCCCCCAGTACGTTAAATTCAGCAAATAAACAGTAACTGTGCATTAAAATGTGTCCCCTCTGTAGAGGATGTGTTAACTGAGTGGCGCTCAAACTTTTGCATATGATCGTTTATAGGCAAGACAAGGCATGGCAAGTTTTTATGTAGTTCATTTCATGTACAGGCAATTCATGATGTTTTTTAGTTAAAAAAAAAAAAAGTTAAAAAATAATAAATAATACAATATGTGTCAAGTCTCTTCCAGCACCCTGACTGAGGAAAATCACCACTTGTAAGGGATTAATCATCCACAGTATAATAGTCTTAGCATTTAACCTCCAAGAGAGCTGATTAAACGTCAGATAACAGTAATACTCAAGTCATTTCCCGCATAAGGAGAGAGTGAGGAAGATCACAGAGCTACAGTCTTTCACTACATGAACAGTTGTGTTCTTAGAAGTAATACAAAAACTTCTAAGGTGTAAATGTGTAGACAGATACACTACTGATGGAAATTATATTACTTGTTATTGTATTCAGTATTAACTTGTTCAGTGTAGTTAATACTAAACTGTAATTATTTATCATATTTTCTCAACAAGTTATCTGCAAATACAAGGCATTTACTTCATTATTGATGTAATACAGGTCTCTAAGTTATTACAGGGTCATTTACATTTACAACATATTTCTAATAGTGTATAGAAGCAACTGGAAGTCTATGATGTTGTAGAATATAAAGTTGTATTGTATGTACTACAGAATCACTTATACGTATGTCTGCCTAGACTTATATAGTACTTATATCTATAACCAAGTACACATATGTTATGAATGATAGGGAATAGACACTGAACAAATCAATAAATGCAATTTTTTTTTAAAGCATTTTGAAAAAAGTAGTTTGGAAAAAAGAAATCCACATTGTTTTCCCTAGAAATGTGTGGTGCTGCTACAGGCAAATAGAGGTCACACCAGATAGTAATGTGAGAATTCTGTTTCATGACCCGCCTGTTTTTTACAGGGCTTCTGGATATTTTTATATTTATATATTTTTGTTCATGGAGTTTTATGTGTGGAAGTCGTGTATGGCGATGTTATTTGATGAAGTTATGTTGTTGGTGTATTTTGAAAGTTGAGTGCCTCACTGTGAGTGCTGCAGTTTGTGCTGGAGATTTCCACGTGTTCTTCTTAAAACTTTATATCCGTGTCTCTGTGGTGACAGATGTGTTATTGTGTGTTTCAAGGCTGATTGCAAAGTCAGTGTCCGTAGCCACAAGTAGCGAGAGACGCTTTTATTTTCGTCTCAGTGGGGCGATGAAGCCAGAGTCAGTGGCTCAATTCTGTAGGGAGAGTCAGCTCTCAGCTCTGCGTCTGGCGCGAATGAGAGAGAGAGAGAAAGAGGGAGAGAGATCAGAGAGAGAAGTGCTGGGGATTTATTACTGAATTGGTGTCTATAGAGACAGAGTCTTTCAACAGGATTATACAGTGTGACTGTGAATTCAAGGTTAGGATCAGGCTTTGTGTTAGACTGTGTAAAGGTGTGACGCACACCAGAAAAAGTGATGCAGTGAGTTCACTTCAAATATGTTCATCATTTCCACATGAATAAAATATAAAATATATCATGGCAGGAATTGTATTGGTGTAATATATTTTATTTATGTGGAAATGTGGACATTTTAATCAAGTCAATGTTCAGTATATCAGTCTCTCTCTCTTTCTCTCTCTTTCTCACTCTCTCTCTATCTATCTGCTCTCTTTCTGTACCTCTCCTTCTGTCTATCTCTTTATGTCTCTCACTCTATCTCTTTATTTTTCTCACTTTGCTCTGTCTCTTTCCATATGTCTGTCTGTCTCTCTCATTTATCTACCTCTTCTCTCTTTCTCTCTCTACCTGTTCTTTCTTTCTCTTACCTATCTTCTTTCTTTCTTTCTTTCTTTCTTTCTTTCTTTCTTTCACTTCCTCATTATCTATCTCTTTACTCACTTCTCTCTCCCTCTCTTTCACTCTCTATCTATCTATCTATCTATCTATCTATCTATCTATGTATTCTCTCTTTCTCTACCTCTCCTTCTCATTGTCTCTTTATCTCTCCTCTCTCACTCTATCTCTCTTTCCCTCTTCTCTCTCTGTCTCCTTCTGTACAACTGTCTGCTTGTCTCTCATCATGTCTCTCTCTCTCTCTCTCTCTCTCTCTCTCTGTTTTGATGAATGTGTCCTGTTTCTGTCGTATTTGTTTGTTTCTGTGTGTGTGCCCTACATGGGGAATGTAGCGTTTAGATATTATTCTAGGATTAAAAGCACCTTGCATATTTTAATGATCATGTGGGATTGTGTGTGTGTGTGTGTGTGTGCATGAGTGTGTGTGTGAGAGGGTTGTGTGTTACACCATCTGCTCCTTGTTAATCTAAGTGCTGCACACAGGTTTATTTTATGTAATGTGTCTTATGAAGGTTACGACTCGCTCAGAATCACAGTTTCTAATGTTCTTGAATTTAAACCATGGTCAACACTTTATTACAGGTGATTTTTCTTCATACAAAAAGTCACATATTGAAAGTATATTGCAGTAATTCTATACATATTCTGGAATATACTGCCAGCATAACATACTATATATTTCATTTTCAAATGGGTCAGTGACTTAATCTACTGAAATTGGTCACAAATGAAATAAAATCAGATTCTCCCTCAACAATAGCCGACTGTCATGAAATACATGGGTGCAAAAAGCGATACTATGTAGTTCGGTACGTGACTTGATGGCATCATCTGACCCTCATCTTTCAGTCCGGCTACTCGTGTACGCTCTGATCCAGCCAAGCTGAAGCCTTGTGAAGCTCTTTTTGATCCTCTCTCAGTCTCACAGCTGTCAAAAAGACTTAGCAGACTCTGGCACAATCTCACTTTCCTAAGTTTGACAGTGACATGGATTCAGTGCCATTTTACTGTAGAGTTAAGTGGAGCGAGGGATGGTTGCTTGCAGCATGGATAAAGGAGAAGGGCAATGCATTGCATGAGGCAGTGAATCAGGACCATTACAATGTAATTTCTAGCTGAATTTTGGGAATTATTTACAACAACCAGCTGTAGTCAAAAAATGTAGTCATTATTGTTCCATAGTCGTTTTAATCATTCAAAACGCCAGAAACTGAAAGTGAACTGTTTAATTTTTTACAGTGTCTGAAGAATTAACAGCCAGATTAGCTTAAGTGGCTTGGAGAAGCTAATATTTATTAACAGACCCACAGTAAAGAGATTGTATTAGTGCAGATTTGTGTTAGTAAGCAAAGCATGAAGGTGGTAGTGTGTTTTGTGCAGGCTTGCTTCTGATATGCTTCTTGGAGCCCCACACCCCAAACATCCCAATCATTTTCTTCAGTATGTGTGAACTGAACAAGAATTCATATTTAATGGATTTTTATAAAAATCTCTGAACTTACTGCATGTTTTTGACAAATATATTATATTAAATACATTTTAAACAGTACACACTTTGGGGGCCATAACTGCCATTGGAAGAAACGACCCGTGTTTTGTAGTCTATTCTTGGGGACCTTTGGTAATCAGTTAAAAACAAACAATTTTTTATCTAAATCCCCCAGTAAAGTTAAAATTATTTGGTTTATTTTAAGATGAAGTTGGAAGATTTAGATAAGTTTTAAACATAAGTTTAATTTTTAAATAAAAAAAATGTTCATTTCATAAAAAAAAATGTTGTCCCACGTTTTCATGTCACTACCGAAACACAAAACGTTTAGACCATAGGCGGAGCCTTATTTTAGCCACATGCCTGCATTTCAGGGAGACTGAATCCCTGTCCCTTATGGCCACATGGTGAGCAGTTAGATCCAAATTTTTTAAAGTAAATGTGTCCCAAAATCTGAAAATCACTCTGTATCATTAAGAATTGTCATTCCTGAAAGATATTTTCTGCAGTTATGTAAAGTGTTTCCATTACAAATTCTGTCCCCTTATCTGTGCACAACTGTTCAAAGCTCTGGTTGCTAATCATATACTAGCTAATGTTTTTGACGTTTTACTCTCCAAATTAGCCAATATTACACAAAAGTCACTTCCAGAACTGTCACTACTGAAACAGTCACTACTAAAATATTTCGTAAAGTTTCAAAGGCAATTTTATTGCAGTGGTAGTGACAAAATGAAATGTTCAATCATTTATTTTAAGAAAATCCTAATAATTAAGGTATAGTGTCACTCAAAGCAATAGGATTTCAATCTAAGTCCAAGTCAGTCCAAGTCTGTTGAAAGTCTGAAATGTGTTTTGTACTCTGACTTTGAGCCAGTTTGGTAGAATCATCCATATGATCCTTTCCCAGTGCATTGTTCTAGGCTTTTTATGATTATCATAAACTGAAAAGTGAAAAATTCTAATGACAAAGACTTTTAAGTGAAAACCTCTAGCTCCAGCTCTGTCTTATTTTATGCAATTTTTAATTTTTTATTATTTCTACAAGAAATGTCAGCCAGGTCAGTTAAAATGAAATGTGTTGGTTTTAATGATAAGCTGAGTGAGTGCGCTTTGTGGTTCACAGGTTTTTATGGTAAAAGCTGTACGGATGCGTGTCAGCTGAACCCGTGTGAGAATGAAGCTCAGTGCCACAGAAAACCCAGCTCCTCCCATGGCTACATCTGTGACTGTGGAGATAACCACTACGGACAGTACTGCCAACACAGGTACACACAGACGCACACACAGACGCACACACACACACACACACACA